GAGAGAGAGAGAGAGAGAGAGAGAGAGAGAGAGAGCAATCAAGCCACCAGGTGCGGGACTCAGCCATGTGGGAGTCCAGCGTCCTTAACTACTACACCCCCTGCTGGCTCTCAGTTTTAAAAACTTCTTGATGTGTATTAGGAAATAAACATTTTGATTTACCTTTGTAACTACTAAGAATTTAGAACTTCTGTTAGAGTATTTTAGTATAGACCGTATCAACTATTAGTTGATACTTGTAATGTTCATTTTCACAGTAAAAGTTATTTTGATGTTTATTGAAATGCTGAATATTTCATATATTTTTCTAGTAATATGTTTGTTTCGATAGTAAATGTTTTTCCTTGTAAGTACTGACAGAAGTACTAAAGATTGTGGATACTTTATGAAGGTAGAGAGTTCAACTTTATAAAGGTAGAGAGTTCATTGGAACTATGTGAAAAGCAAGATATTATATTCTTCACCATTAGTGACAGTTTTAAAGAATTTCAGATGACCAAATCACCTGACTTTTTCTTCTAAATGAGCCACATTATATGTGGACTATTTCCTTTGACAACAGCAAATGAAAGCAGCAAAATTAACACCTAGATAACAGATGGTTGCTTGAATTTGAAAAAAGTCACGGTTTACATTTGCCAAAATAAGGAAAGAAAATCTAGATATAGGATTGAAATGATCACTGAAATTATACCTGCACCTAAAATGCCAACTAAAATTTGAATGCATGTCCACGTGGACTATTTTTGTACTACCAGCCTTTTCCAGTTTTAAAAAGGAATACAGCAAGAGGATATTTTAAGCCTGGACTGTGTAGATTTTAAAAACCTAGGCAGGCTCCGGCTTGTCAGGGTGGAGCAAAAGACGAGATGAACAAGGGGAGAAAAAGTGGGGGGGGTCACTGCTGTTGAGGAGTCACTGTTTTGAATCCAAACTAAGATGTACAGAGCCTGCGGTTTCTTTCTTGTCTGTCTTTCTTTCTTTCTTTCTTTCTTTCTTTCTTTCTTTCTTTCTTTCTTTCTTTCTTTCTTTTCTTTCTTTCTTTCTTTTTTCTTTTCTTTCTTTCTCCCTCTCTCTTTCTTCTTTTTCTTTCTTTCCTTCCTCTCTTCCTTCCTTTCTTGCCTCCCTCCCTCCCTTTTCCTTTTTTAACCAAAGACACCCTTGCATTCCACAGAACGTGGCATTGAATGTTTTCGATATGAAATCACGCTTGCGCAAGTCAAATCAGAGTACTCTATGAGATATGTTTAGGTCATTTAGCTGTGTGGTTCTTCCGTATACAGGAAATAAGAAAAATAAATACAAAGCCAATAGGTGACATTAGACTAAACTCAATGAAAAGGATTTGATTTTGAAATTAGGCTCTTTTGGCTTTTTTGGGGGGGGGGTAGGGAGGGAAGAGTTATTCAACCATTCTTGTTTTATAAAAGTAGGCATTAGTAGGTAGTCTTCTCTCCTCAACGCATACTTGTGTGTGTTCGTGTCCTTACACAGAAAAGTCAAAGCTGGCACTTTATTGATTTAATAATTCAAAAATATATGTGGGTTTATAAAACCTAGGAGTCTAGGAGCCAGGGATCTAGGCTGGTCCGTTCCATATTTCCTACAGTTAGCAGTAACACTTTCGAGAGACCCTTGGTCCCGTTTTAGGGACCTACCTTGTCTTTGCCTTGTAGACACACACAGGCTCCTGGACTGTTAGAAGGAAATTCATCCAAGTGCATTCAAGAGTTCAGACTCTCACCAAAGCCCAAACCCACCTAGAGCTCCCAGGACTGAGCTTCTTCAGTGTATCCACAACTTGACTCTGTTCCTTGGAAGATGCTACCTGTATGAAAGTACTTCTTCCTTACTGACCTAGTCGAAAGGGACTTCCCTGTAATGCCTACTTTCTAGCCTTCTTGTCCTGTCTGACAGATATTCAAATATTTGAGGGTAGATCCCAAATCTGCTGCTAGTTATCTTGTCTTTTGGGTAAACTTTCCTCTTTGCACCTTTTTCCTGTGTAGGATGATTTCCCCACTCGATTAGATAAATCCTTGAAAAGAAGACAGTACACAGGTAAAGGATTGTAGATCTGGAGCAAACACCCTGGTCCTAGTTACCATCTGGCTCACTTCCAGGAGAAAATGCCGAGCATGTGAAGAATCTCACACCAACTGTGGAATGCTGTCCCACATGGCTCTCCAGGTCCCTATTAAGCCAGTCCTTTCCGGCCTTCCAGGACTTCT